GAAGATCAGCCCTGAGCTAACATCCGTGCTAATCCTCCTCTTTTTGCTGAGGAAGACTGGCTCTGAGCTAACATCTATTGCCAATCCTCCTCCTTTTTGTCCCCCAAAGCCCCAGTAGATTGTTGTATGTCATAGTTGCACATCCTTCTAGTTGCTGTATGTGGGACGCAGCCTCAGCGTGGCTGGAGAAGCGGTGCTTCGGTGCACACCTGGGATCCGAACCTGGGCCACCAGTAGCGGAGTGCGTGCACTTAACCGCTAAGCCACAGGGCCGGCCCCACCTTTTCATTCTTGATCCGTCTAGCTAGTTTACCAATTTTTTTTTATATTTTTAAAGAACTAACTTTTGAGGTTATATTTATATATTAATTATATGATTTTAAATACATTAAAATGAAAAGTAGAAAGTAATGGATTGCTCATTGTGGCAAATTTGGAAAATGCAGAAAAGGATAAAGAAGGCAAAATCCTATGACCCAGAGATGGCTGCTGTGACATTTTGGTGTATTTCCCTTCAGCCTTGTTCTGGGTACATAACACTATATATATTTTTTCCTTTTGCAAAGTGAAAACCCTTGCTCTATCAGCTGAGCCCTGTGAACATGTGTGTTCTTCGTTTTCCCTGCAGGCGTTTTCTGCATTGTCTCAGTCACAGATGTCCTTCTGCCACCCGTGTCCTTTCTCACTGGCTGCTTGATCCTAGCAGGCGTCGGCCTTGACTGCAGCCAAGTCCAGAACCTCCACCCTCCCAGGGGATGGTCCAAAATGAATGTGACCCCCTCACGGTCATGCATCCAGAGAATCTGCAGGGTTTTTTCTATTACAATTAACCCTGCGTCACCCTGTGAAAATCCTCGCTCATAATACGTTTTGATTCTGCTGACTATTTCTTGGGGATATACGGCCAGGTAGGGGGCTACTGGACACAGGCAGTTTTGTGACTTTTGAGTGTACGGCTACATTTATATTTCAGTTTGTACCACTTGAAAGTGCTACCAGTGGCGTAATAATCATCCACCTTAAAAGCGAACACAGATTTTCTTTGTGTTCCCAGCACCTAACGTAGTACCTGAGATCCAGGAAAAATATTGTGAATGAATGAATCCACGGAATGCTAATTCGGTCAACCCAAGAAATGATATGTTCTCAGGAGGCACCGTCACGGAGCCGTGGAAAGAGCATGGAGCTGACCCAGTCTCAAGCCTATGCTGTGTGATCTGGAGCAGATTAATTCCCCTCTCTGAGGCTCAGTTTCCTCATCTGAAATTACGTGAATTTATACCCGTCTCCTAGGTTGCTATGAAGATCAGCCACAGTAAAGGGCATGAAGGGCCTGACACAAAGTGTCATATTTAGCGAGGTGACATTGCCGTTACCCTCCCAGTCAGGACTCACAGCCCAACTCCTGAGCTCGGGCTGCCTTCCCTACGGGACTGGGGCAGGTACCACTGGCCGCTGCTGTCGCCTCACTGCTTAATGACATCTTATGAAATCTGTATTGTTGTCGTTGTTTAACCGTTGTTAAGTTAGCTGTGTGTTTGATTCCAGGCCTTTCGTGCATGTGTTTTCATGATTAATAGACCTGGTTTTTTTTTTGACATAGTTGGGCTCATGCTCTGCATAACTATATGCAGCTTTTTTCTTTACTGAACAACCCATGGCAGAGCTCTTACCCGTCAGTACACAGAGACCTGTCTGTCCATCTCACCAGGTGCAGGGCATCCCGAGGAGGGAAGAGTCGTGTTGGTTTAACCGCCCCGGAGGGTGGACATCTCGCTGGCTCCCACTATTTCCGTATTACACATAAGGCTAGCAGAACAGTCCACTCGCCTGCCCTCCCTCTGCCTCCCCACTGGCGTGTTCTCCAGCCCCTTCACCCAACACCCGTGCTAGGCAACCCCCTGGTCCCTCAAACACAGGAGGCCTCGGCGTCCCCCTGCATCCTTCTGGTCTCTCGCTGTCCTTTCCCACACAAGCTCACACATCTGCCCTGTCCCTCTTTCCTGCCCCTAGGCCTTCCGTCAGAAGCTGGTGGAGCCTGTCTGTGCTTTCTGGAACTTCAGCATCAGGTGAGTTTCCATTTCCAAGTTCTTTAAATAAGGCAATTTGGTTTTTTTCAAGACATGCATTCTGCTTGAGGATGAGGCAGGACTTGGGTGTGTTTTTGGCCTCCATTCACCCATAGCCTTGCAGGGGTGGCTCCAGGCCCCACCCAGCTCCAGGACAAGCTGGGGCAGGAGAATCTGTTACCCAGGAGGTAGTGAGCTCCCCGTCATGGGAAGTATGTGAGCTCACTCTGTGAGGTGTCTAGGAAGAGACTCATCTGTGAAATGGGCGTTAGACTTGATATATCCAAGGCCAGGGCCCGAGGGCATTTGAAGAGGCAGAGGAGGGTTCAGGGATTAGCCCAGCTCCCTACCCTGGATCTTCAGCTGAACGTCAATTGCTGTTGCTTAGTAATTAATGCAGTTAATCAGTGGTCATCACTGGTATTAGCCCCATCCTCCTGCCATCCCTGAGAGTGTTAAGTACATTTTACAGATAGGAAACTGAGGCCCAGGGAGGGGCAGAGACTTGCCCAAGGTCACACAGCTGGTTAGAGGCAGGGCAGTGATGGACCCCAAGCTTTGGAGAGAGGCTTTCCCCTGCTTGCCACCTGCGCCCACCCCCATGTCTAGCCATCTCAAGAGCCCTTCTTTGCCCCACCCACCCAGCCCGGACTCAGGGGGCTCCTGGGCCACTGCTGGCTGCTCCGTGGCCGCCCTGTACCAGGACTCGACCGCCTGCTCCTGCAACCACAGCACCAACTTTGCCGTCCTGTTGCAGGTGTATGACGTCCAGGTGAGTGCCTGGGTGGGGGGCGGGGGGTGGGAGATGATGTCAGAACCAATCGTAAAGGGTGACAGGAGTCGAGCAGAAAGGTGGAGGGAAGGCATTCCAGGCAGAGGGCCAGTCTGTGCACAGGCAAGGAGGCTAGAAACGGCATGGCTGATTTGTCACATGCTCGACTTTGGTGTGTCTCAGCTCCCAGTGCAAGGCCCAGGAGTGGGGGAGGCGGGGGGCAAGGTGGGCACGGGTCAGATCACACTGGGATCGGGAGGCTGTCGCCACAGGGCGGGAGTTAGATTTGCCACGAGGGAGCCCTCTGGTGCCCAGTTTGAGGCTGGTAAAGAAAGAGCAGCAAGGGGGCTGCGGGCCTGGCCTAGGCAGAAGGGAGGGGCCCTGGACCAGGGGACAGTGGGGAGACGAGGAGACTGGACCCAGGGAGTAAGAGGGAGATGGTCCAGAATAAAGGCCTGGACAACGGGGGGATGAGGGACTTGTCTCCAGGGGGCACGGGTTTGGGTGGGCCCCGGATCTGAGGGGCTTGGAGTCTGTGGGTCTCATGTTTGGGGCAGGAGGGCTCTTGGCTGGAGATGAAGAGCCAGTAGGTCAAGCCATGGCCGAGACGAGGTTGGAAGTAAGAGGAGATGTGACCAACAGAGGCCCCTGAGAGGCCCCAGCATCTACAGACTGGGGGGAAAGCCAGATTCCAGGAGGAGACCAGGAGAGGTGGGCTCAGGGGGCCGGAAAGGGACTCTGAGTGATCACTTGCTAAGAGGTTGAGTGAGACGAGGCCTGAGCCTCAGGGGTGCCGGGGTCACTTGGCATGCTGCGGGGCACTAGAGAAACACGCTGTCAAACACACGTTTCCTGTAGAAACAGAGCATGGACATTTTTGCACGTCGTGAACAATCCATGAAGGCTCCGTGGTCCCCCTCCCCCCTTGACCCTCTCCCCATGGACGTGTCGGTTGTTTCCAATCTGGTGCTCTTAGTAGCTGTTGAATCAGTGAAAACTGGGCTGATGGGCCAGTTTAGGGACAGCCAGCAGGAGAGGATATGCAAACACTCGCTTATTAAGTGCCTGCTGTGTGCAGGCCTGGCTCAGCTGGTGTGTTGCCATCCCTGCTCCACTGCAGAGGAGAAGGCTTGGGGAGACTTGCTGAGTGGGTGTGGGGCTGGTCTGGGCCGGTCAGGGTGGTGACAGGGTTACTATACTCCTGGGTCTCTGTCCCTCCCACAGAGAGGCCCCGAGGAGGAGTCGCTGCTAAGGACGCTCTCCTTCGTGGGCTGTGGTGTGTCTTTCTGCGCCCTCGCCACCACCTTCTTGCTCTTCCTGGCAGCCAGGTGAGGCGAGCTCACCACAGCGGCCTGGCACCCTGGGCGTGGCCTGCCCCTCGTGGGCCTCCTCAATTAGCGTCCCTCCTTGATCCCAGCAGACCCTGGTCCGGGGCCTCCCCTAGGGCTGTGGGCCCCCTGTGGGGCTGCCCTCTCTGCCTTCATTAGCCCGGACATGAAGACCCGCGTGGGTAGGAGCTGATAGAGAGTGGGGGCTGGTGGTGGTGTCCCTGTTAACCGGCTCTGCTGCCTGTCCAGGGTCCCCAAGTCAGAGCGAGCCACAGTCCACAAGAACCTCACGTTCTCCCTGGCCTCTGCTGAGGGCTTCCTCATGGCCAGCGAGTGGGCAAAGGATAACAAGGTGGGTGGCCAGCGGGTGAGCTTGTGGGCTCAGGGGGCCCCGGAAAGCACCTTCAGCCTTTTCTGGGCTGCCCCCCTCCCATCTTCACTTGGCTCCATTTCCCAGGAGGAGCAACGCCCAGAAGGGAAAGGCCCAGAATGTTGGGGCTGGGCCCAGGGCGCTGCCTGGAGTCCTGACCCACTGAGACCTCTGTAGGTTGGCAGTGCCAGGCCTGGGCATGGGACCCAGGGCGGGGCTGCAGCCATGGCTGGCCTCAGTGGGGATCCCCCTCCCGCCCACAGGTGGCATGTGTGGCCGTCACGGCTGCGATGCATCTCCTCTTTTTGGTCGCATTCTCCTGGATGTTGGTGGAGGGACTGCTGCTGTGGAGCAAGGTGGTGGCCGTGAGCACGCGCCCCGGCCCCAGGATGACGCTCTACTACGCCGCCGGCTGGGGTGAGGCCCCTCAGCTCCCTGCTCCTGCTCTGTTCTCCTCAACTCTGCCCTGCACGGCCTCCATTGCCGCCCAACACCGCTCTACACCCAACCCCATCTGGAGCCCAGCACCCGCCTCAGACACGAGCTCAATTTCCTCAGCGCTGTAAACCTCTGGCGTTACCCAGTCCCAATTCTTCTTAATCCTCCTCCACGTCGACTACTTCAACTCCCCACCTCCAGCGCTGTCTCTCTGATCTGTGACCGCCACCCCCATGCCAGTCACCAGCCTCCATCTCCATGGGTTACCAACCCTGAGCCCTCAACTCAAGGCCAGCTCTTCCACTCCCCAACTACTCAGGTCTCCAACGCCACCCCAAAAGTACCAGGCCCACCCAACCCCGCTCCCCAGATCTCCCAATGCCGCCAGTACACCTGCTACTACAGGATAGCTGTGGGCTGAAATTCTAGGGAGACTGGGTCCTGAAGAGGACAGAATGGGTGGCATGGTCCTGAGGTCACTTTTTCTTTCCCTAGGCATGCCTGTGGCTATCGTGGCCGTCACCCTGGCCATGTCCCCCCATGACTACGTGGCCCCTGGGCACTGCTGGCTCAATGTGCATACAGACACCATCTGGGCCTTTGTGGGGCCCGTGCTCTTCGTGCTGACTGTGAGTGGGGAGGCCTGGGGGCCTGGAGGGGAGGGATGTGTCGGGGGCAGGGGGAAGCCCTTTCACCCACTGACACCGGGTCTCCAGGCCAACACCTGCATCCTGGTCCGTGTGGTGATGGTCACCGTGTCCAGTGCCCGCCGCCGTGCCCGCATGCTGAGCCCACAGCCCTGCCTGCAACAGCAGATCAGGATCCAGATATGGTGAGGCCCCAGACTCGGGGAGTCAGGAAGAAGTGGGGGAGCCAGGTGTGAGGCTCATTGGGTGTGAGCATGTGTGAGTCCACAGTGGGTATGTGTGGCCATGTGTGCTCACGGGTGTAAGGCTGTAGATGAGCATGTGTGCACATGTCCCTGCTTGTGTGTGCATGCATGCTCACGCATATGGACGTATGTGAGTATGTGCCCATTCATGTCATGAGTGGGGATGGTAATTGATCCTGTGTGTATATGGGGGGCAGGGTATAGACACGAGCCACTGTCCTGGGGGCTCACCGTCTGCAGAAGGTACTGATGGCCTGGTAGGGACAAGGTAGGGGAGACCCTCAAATCAGGCGGTCCCCAAAAGTTCAGGTTCAGGGTGAGGATCTAGGCCCCTTTCCCTGCCAAGAATCCCCATCACTCTCCAGGGTCCTACCCTACTGGAGGAGGCACACCTCAGCCTTCCTTCAGAAGCTCTGCCTCCTCTCTGGCCTTCCTCTTCCCCACCCATCCTCTGCCAAGGGCAGGACGGCCCAGCCAGTGGGGCCCTGAAAAGCCAAGGAGCCCCAGGAGTCCTTGAGAAGGGGGAAGAGGAAGCCCTTCCTGACTCCATGCCCCCTGGACTTGCTGCCCAGGCCTCAGCCCGGCCTCTGGGCAGTTGCCATCCCTTCCTTTGAGCCAGGTTTGGGACTGGGACCCCGTCATCTCCCCAAGGCCACAACCCCTACTTCATGCCACTTCTGGGTCTTTGAGAAGGGGCAGCCACGTCCTGCTGAAGGTTCTAGCTGCACCTAAGTCCTGAGCCGTGGTCCCTGCTGCAGCTCCAGTCCCTCTCTAGGTATTTCCCAGGGGCTTCCCCCCACCCCGTGCCCTGCAGGGAGCCCCCAGGCCGCCGGACCTCCCTCAGCCCGCCTGCTCTCTCGCAGGGCCACCGTGAAGCCCGTGCTGGTCCTGCTGCCCGTCCTGGGCCTGACCTGGCTGGTCGGTGTGCTGGTGCACCTCAGCCCAGCCTGGGCCTATGCTGCCGTGGGCCTCAATTCCTTCCAGGTACCTCCGGGCCCTGGGCCGTCTGGGACTGGGGCTGTGACGGGCACCAGAACTCAGACATTGGGGACATTATCAAGAGGAGGGAGGGTGAGGGTGAGAGTGGGAACAAAACCTCGAATCAAAGACCAGGACGCAGGAGATTGTGTGGCCCACTTGACCGCTGAGGAAGCTGGGGCCCAGAAAGGGGACTGTTAAGATCCTCGCGCCCTGACGCTGAAGGATATGGCAGAGGTTCAGCCCCCAGGCCCGTGCAGAGCCACTGCAGGCCTGGGCGGGAGGCGGGGATGGGCTGCAGGGCACCAGTGACCTCTCCCCGTGGGGCCTGTGGGGGCCTCCTGGGGGCAGCACGAGCTGCTCCACTGGTGAGGACAGCAGGTCAGGAGAGGGCTTGGTCAGGAGGACGAGGCTTGACCCCAGAAATGAAGCAGCAGCGGTGGGACTGCGGGAGCCCTCCTCTGTGCCCGTCGGGCCTGTGTCCTGGAGCTGCAGAGAGGGGTCAGACTAGTCCCTGTCCTCGGGGGTCTGCAGACCTGTGGGGGACCCGGACGTGGACAGACAGCCACAGCCAGGGGGCTGAGTGCGGGGAGGGAGGGAGGTCCAAGGAGGGCCGTCCCTGCCCCCGCCCTGCCCCTCGGGCTCCCTTGCCCCCCAGCACCTCTTCCCGTCATCTGCACCACTACCCCCAGCTCTCCCGGCCCAGGTCCCTCTCGGGGCTGAGAAGTGGGGTGAGCCAGGATGGACAAAGACAAGCTCAGGAAATCAGGTGCAAACTGTCCAGCGTCCGTGTGTCCTGGGCCAGGCTCATATCTGTATCTGCGAGCAGCCTTGCAAATGGGGAAACTGAGACCCCACGAAGTCACTTGCCCAAGGCTGCACAGCAGGAGGGAGCAGCGCCGGGGCCCGGGTCCAGGGTCTGTGTTCTCGGCCATCGGGTTGTACAGCCTTGACCACAGAGGGGCCTGGCTTGTTCCTGGGAGAGCTGCCGAGGCTGGAGGGGGCTGGGGTGGGGAGGGCGCCCTGAGTCAGTTATTCATGCAGCTGTGCAATATGTATTGAATGCCCACTCTGTGTCGGGCTCTGGGGACACAGCAGCAAAGGAGGCTGCAAAATGCCCTGTTGTCGTGGAGCTGCCGTGAGTGGGGAGGCAGACCACGACCGAGAGAGGGAGAGAGGTGTTAGGGGTGGGATGAGGCACGGAGCGGGGAGGGGTGTGGAGGGTGTTGACCGCCAGGGTCCTGGCCCATGTTGTCTTCTCCCTCGGGCCTTGGGGACTTGCCACCCTCTGCCAGGTGGGCATGGGAATGGACAGAGGAAAGAAAGGGACACTGCTGGGAGGATGGAGGTCGGCTCCAGAGAGGGACCTGGAAAATGAAGAACTAGGGTTCCAGCACTGTTCCCAAAGAAGCCCAGTTCCCAGGGACCTGTCTGAGCCCAAGCAGTAAGCGACAGGGGGTGGCACTGCGCCCCCTTCCCTGACGCGGACAAGGCCTCTTCCAAGCCCCACACTCCCAGAGCTCCGTGGGTTCCAATTCCAGCTCTGCCCCCAGCCGTGTGACACAGTGGAGGGCAGCAGCATCCTGTTGCCATGGCGATGGCTCCAGCTCCATCCCTGCCTGTGGCCCTCAGGTGGGCAGAGCTGCAGCGGTGGAGGCAGGGCCGCGGTGCCGCCTTCCTTGTCTCCCTCCTTCCTTCCGCCCCTTCTCGTCCTTGCCTCTCTCAGTGTCTCATTTCTTTGTCTCTGTCTCTGAATTCTCCCTGAGATGCTGTCTCTGTCTCTCAGGATCTCTCTGTCACAGTCCGCTCTCCCTGTCTCCCTCTCCTCTGGCATGGATCCCACCCTGCTCTTTCTGTGACTGTCTCTGTCGCCCCTTCTGTTGATCTCTGAGCCCGTGTCCTTGTCTCTTCCCCTGCCTCTCCATCTCTCTGCGTGTGACCTCTCTTCCCTGCTCTGGGGCAGCCCCAGACCTTCCTTGTGAAGGCCTCCTGCCAAAAGGAGGGAGAGGCTGCCTTATGGGGGTCAGAAGGCATGAGACCTGGGCCCCCTCTGACGTTCCTGTGACCATCACGGGCAGGTCCCCAAGTTAGGCTCAGAGCCGCGTTCTCTGGGTTCCTCCCGGCTGCGTCCCCTCCCAGGCCTGGCCCTTCCCCCTCCTCTCTCTTCCGCCACACCTGTGGTCTCTCCGCCATACCTGTGGTCTCTCCGCCACACCTGTGGTCTCTCCCTGTCTTTCTCTCCCCGCCCCACCTCCAGCCCCATCCCTCTCTGTCTCGGGCATATGCTGGGCAGGCCCTGCCCTCAGGACAGCCCTCTCTCCCTGCCCAATGTGACTGGGGAGCAGCCTGGGGCTGGAGGGACTAACATCAGCCCAGCCTCATTCACTCTTTGGAGTGACTTGTTTCCTTCTGGACCCTGTGCCAGGCTTGTGGTAGAAGAGCAGGGCCTCAGTTCTGTAACCAGCTGTAGCTCCTGCTTCCCCTGGCTGAGAGTCTGGTTGGGAGGCCTAGATGAGTTGAAACAGGCCTCAGTTTCTACATCTGTATAAAGGGGATCTTATTCTCCACCTCCTGGGATCATGGTGGGTTCAACTGAGATGGTGTTTGCAAAGGGCAGACACAACCCTTGGCACACGCCGGGAGCGCCGTGAACGTGAGCTCATTGGTTTCATTCAGTCATTCAGCACTTACTCCCCAGCGCCAACCCTGTGCCCGTGCTGGGCTGCATGCTGGAGAATATGGACGTGCACAAGATCAAAGATTCTCCCTTGCAGGTCTCGGCCTGAGGGAGAGACAGACACCGAAAGCACAGAACCAACCACAGCATGCAGGGCTGGGGGCTGTGGCATGGAGGGATAGAGGGTAGAGAGGCTGCCTGGTGGTTAGAGACTAAAGTTTCCTCCCCACTGGAGGGTTCGAGTGGGGCAAGCCCCCTCCTGGTTCTCTCTGCCATAGAATGCAACAGCTGCCCCCTCCCCAGTGCAGGAGCGGGGACAGGGCAGGGTTTGTGTTCATCAGCCTGTCTCCGAATGTCTCTGGGTATCTCTGGGTGTGTCTTTGCTATGGCGCCAGGCCAGGCGGCGGGGGTCGGGGGACTGCAGGGCCTCCCAGGCAGTGAGCCCACCAGTCCATTGGGTCTGTCCCCAGGGGCCGTACATCTTCCTGGTCTATGCTGCCTACAATGGGGAGGTGAGTGGGGGAACATCGGTGGCTGGGGGGTGGAGGTGGGCGGGGCTTGCCTACAGGGGGCTCCTCAGCCTCGTGGAGGTCAGGGGAGGGGCCCAGGCCTGACCCCAACGCCCATCCCCCAGGTACGGAACGCCCTGCAAAGAATGACTGAGAAGAAGGCAGCTGAGGCGTTCACGGTGCAGGCAGGTGGGGTGCCGAGGGGCAGCAGGTCCCACCCACGGCCGGGTTGGAGCACTAACGCCCTCTACTTTCAGGCCCGGGAATCCCACCCTCGGCCCTCAGGTCCCTGGGAGGTAGCTCAGGACCACCCCATAGCCTTGGCTCCACCCCGAAAACACCTGGCTCTCAGAGGTAAGGCCACAACACCCTCTGGTTCCAGTGCTACCCAGTGCCTCAGTTTCCCCAGAGAGCTGGGAGGGCAACAGCAGATCCTATTAGCCCATCTGAAAGATAAGGAGACTGAGGCTCAGGAAATTCTGCAACCATGGGCCTGGCAGATGGCTTAGAAATGGCTCGGTTCCTCTCACCACCACCCCCAGGGAACAGGGGCCCCTGGTGCCCAGCCCTGAGGCGAGGCTTGCCCAGGGTCACCTTCCTTGGATCTCCATGCAGAGGGAGTTTGGAGGGTTCTCAAAGGCGGGTGGGTGGATGAGGTTCAGGGCCCTGAGAGGAACATGGGTTGAATGACTTCAAGGCCAGGCCAGGGCTTCCAATCCCACCTCCTAGTTCATCTGCTGTGGGCTCTTGAGCAAGTTACCTTCCCTCTCTGGGCCTTAGTTTTCTCATCACCAGCTTGTGGGATAGCCCACTGAGTGGATTCTTAGGGTCTTTGATATGAGGTGCCCGCCCAGGTAGGGGAGCAGAGAGCGGGCTTCCTGCCTCAGCCTCCTGAAAGTTCATCTACTCCAGCAATTTTCCCCCCACTAGGGACCCGCGGCCCCAGAATCCCCACAACCTTCTCCTCCATTGCAGACCCCGAGAGATCGGTGAGGCGCGGACAGGGGTGGAAGGGGTGGCAGGGCTCTGCAGAGGGGCTAGGAAGTGTGAACAACAGGGTTGGGAAACCACAGGGACTCGGGTGCGGTTGGGGTGTGGGCTTCCCTTGGGGATCCAGGCGCCCCGTTCCTCAGTGACCGGGCTGAAGGGTGCTGGGAGCAGCTGGGAGCTGCGGACTGCATGCTGGCAGAACCTGGATGCCAAGGCCACTGGGGGTGAGAGAGTCATCACCAAGGTAGCCGGGGGCCCCCAGGGCCAGGGGGAGCGGCAGGAGTGGGGCCCAACCCCTCACGGACCTCCTCTGTCCTCAGGCCGTGGAGCTGACAGCGTTCAAGGCTTCAGGTAGAGCTCCTCCCTCAGAGGCATCCCCCTTCCCCCTTGGCGCCTGGACATGCCCCCCCCCCCCAGCCCCACTGAACCAGAATGGAGGCCATCTGAGAGCAGCCACCCCGGCCCTGCTGCAAGTGAAGGGACCTGTCCATCGCTCTGCTCCTTATTGGTGCCTGCAAGTCCTCCGTTAGCGCACTGGGGGCTCCAACAGTGGAAATGCCGCGTCCCTTGGGAAAGAGTTTCCTAGGGAACAAGTCTGGGACCCCTTCCCAGAGCCAGCGCTGCCCGGAGGGCAGTGAGCAAGCAGCCCGCCTCCCTCTGTGCCCCCACTCTCTCTGGGCCCCCAAGCCCAGCCTCCCAGCCTCACCCCCTCTCGGGGCCCCTGGTGATCTGAGGGGCCTTCCAAACCTGGTGAGGAGCAAGTGCTTTCCTCCAAGGCCTCAGTTTCTCCAGCTGGACAGCTGATGGAGGCATGAAGGGGGACCTGTGGGCCACAGGGCAAGGCTGGGGCCACCCCACACCCTGCTCAAGGAGGGGACAGAGCCTGGGAGCCCAGCCTTGCCCCAGGGGAGCAGTGGGAGCTCACTCTCTGACAGCCTCTCTGCGCCTGAGTTCCCAGTCTTAAACCAGAGACCACCCTAGGAGAGGTGGGCTCAGCATTGCCCCCCCCAAACCACGTGATTCTTTCCAGCCTGTTTCTGGAGCCCTTCCTGGGGCTGGGCTGTGTGATACACACCAGGGATTAGCTGACTCCTTTAATCTGGCAACCCGGGGACATGGAGGTGCTGTCATCCTCCATCGTGCAGCTGAGGAAGCTGGGGCACAGAGGGGAGCCGTCACTAGCCAGGGTCAGTGGCGGAGCTGGGGTCAGGCTCCCACCCCCGTAGATGGGGACACTGAGATGCAGCGGTAGGCACGTGGGTCTAAGCGTGGGCACATTTGCATCCAGGTCTGTGTGACCCCAGGGTCCCAGCCGGCCTCCACCCCTGACTGGTGTCTCAGGCCCTTGGAGTCGCAGCGTCTCTTTCTGCAAAATGGGCTGGAGGCGCCCCCTGCAGGCCTGATGGGGGTGCGCAGCGCCCAGCCCGCGGGACGCGTCCCC